TGTAGTATCTGGGTGGTCTGCTGTAGATTGTAGTGGATCAATTAAGGCTGGTATCAAAATGTTTTAAATTCATAGAATCATAGAACCTTCTGACGGTTCCCTTGCTGCGAGAAGCCAACTTACAGGGAACCAGGCAGAGGGCCTTCTCAGTAGTTGCACCCGCCCTGGGGAACGCCCTCCCACTAGATGTTCAAGAGAAAAACAACTACCAGACTTTTAGAAGACATCTGAAGGCAGCCCTGTTTAGGGAAACTTTTAATGTTTAACAGACTACTGTATTTTAATACTTTGTTGGAAGCCACCCAGAGTGGCTGGAGAAACCCAGCCAGATGGGCGGGGTATAAATAATAAATTTATCATCATCATCATCATCATCATTGAATTTGAGGGTCATCTAGTTCAATGTCCTGAAATGCAGTAATCTTTTGCCCAACATGAGGCTCGAAGCCACGACCCAGTGATTAATAGTATCATGCTCTACTGACTAAGCTATATCTATATAAAATACAGAAATTACTGTGCTGGCCTGGAGTTGAAGCACAATGCATTTCCCCTGTGACAAAAAGTGTATGCAGGGATGAGGAAATCTGCTTTACTTGTATCAGAAGTTCTGCCTTGAAAAGAAACATCTAGATCACTCCCAGCTTAGATACTAATTTTAATAAAGACAAAAACTGTACTAAGTAGCAACTTCCAAAGGGTGTAGCCATATTAGTCGGTAGCCATGAAAACAATGTAGAGATTTGTGGCAATTTAAAGGCTAATGGATTCATTATAGCATAGAAGTGTGGAACAGAGAGGACTTCATTAGATACAAGAGGTGCTATCTTTAGTTGGCAGGTGCATTAGGCATGCTTGTGTGCATATATAATATATTATATATATGGGGGGGGGGGCAATGTACAGTCATACCTTGGTTGTCGAACGCCCCAGAACTCATACATTTCAGCTCCTGAACAATCGAAAACCGGAAGTGAGTGTTTCGAACGATTTTTGGAAGCCGAACATCCGGCGCGGCTTCCCATTGGCTGGATGCTCCTGCAGTCAATCGGAAGCTGCGTCTTGGTTTTCAAACAGTTCCAGAAGTCGAACGGACTCCCGAAACGCATTCTGTTCGAGAACTAAGGTACGACTGAATATGTGTGTGTTATACCTGCCATCTGATGAAAACAGTTCCTGCATCTGATGAAGTGGATGGAGACTCACTCTAGTCCACAGAAGCTTATGCCATCATAAATGAGCCTTCAAGGTGCCACAAGGCTATGCTGCACATAGGAAGAGTAGCAATTAAGAAGTCAAGCACTGGTGCGGGAACAAATAATTGTTTTGTTGTGGCTTTCATACAGACCACGCTACATGTCTACCAGGCGTTTCAGGTGTAAAGATCTCCCAGGTTTCCATGCTGTGCTTTCAACAGCATACCACTCTCTGAGATTCAGCTAGGGACGGAGCAAGCAATCCTAAGCAGGCAAATATGTCAAGGGGCTGCTTTGCCCCCGTATCTCCTGTGTAAATTAAGCTGCAGCCTAACTGCTTCTGGGGAGGGTGTATTCATTGGGGAGGGGGCAGTGTAAACCTTCATTTCCTGCCCTTCCACTGACTCCTATGGGGCAAATATAGTTATACCTGCATTCCTGAGCTCTGTGTGTAATGGGTTAGGATGCAGCGGAAATTTGCTTATCCCTCTCCCTGCCCACAATATGCCAATTCCCTGGCTCTTGATATACACCTTATTGCTCTCTATACACAACATAACTTCCACTGGTTTAACTTCCATCAGCAGGGTTTCCTCTCACCCAGTGTAAGTAGATACACCACCATGATAAGTCATTTATTATTGAGGTCAGCTCGGCCAGAGCAGGGGGGAACGGACGGGCACCATATCCTAACCTCTCCAGCCACCATATATGGTGGTTACAATTCCTCTGCAAGGCTGCAGCCCCGCATAAGCTTATGTAAGAGTACAGGTGAAACTCGGAAAATTAGAATATTGTGGAAAAGGTCATTTATTTCAGTAATTCAACTTAAAAGGTGAAACTAATATATGAGATAGACTCATGACATGCAAAGCGAGATATGTCAAGCTTTTATTTGTCACAATTGTGATGATCATGGCGTACAGCTGATGAAAACCCCAAATTAACAATCTCAGAAAATTAGAATATTAAATGAAATCAGCAAAACAAGGACTGCAAATAGAGCAATATTGGACCTCTGAGAAGTAGAAGCATGCATATGTACTCAATACTTGGTTTGGGCCCCTTTTGCATCAATTACTGCTTCAATGCGGCGTGGCATGGATGCTATCAGCCTGTGGCACTGCTGAGGTACAGTGGTGCCTTGCAAGACGAAAATAATCTGTTCCGCGAGTCTCTTCGTCTAGCGGTTTTTTCATCTTGCGAAGCAACCCTATTAGCGGCTTAGCGCTATTAGCGGTTTAGCGGCTATTAAAGGCTTAGCAGCTTAGCGGCTAAAAGGCTATTAGCGGCTTAGAAAGGGGGGGGAGCGAAAAAAATCGCAAGACTCACAAGACGTTTTCATCTTGCGAAGCAAGCCCATAGGGAAAATCGTCTTGTGAAGCAACTAAAAAATGGAAAACCCTTTCGTCTAGCGGGTTTTTCGTCTTGCGAGGCATTCGTCTTGCGGGGCACCACTGTATTACGGAAGACATGGCTCCCCAAATCTCATATGTTAGTTTCACCTTTTAAGTTGAATTACTGAAATAAATGAACTTTTCCACAATATTCTAATTTTCCGAGTTTCACCTGTAAGTCCCATTCAGCTCAGTGGGACCTACCTCTGGTTAGCCAATTAGAGTTGTGCTCTGTAATACTATTGTTTGATATGTAAGCCAGGCATAGGCAAACTCCGGCCCTCCAGATGTTTGGGATTACAATTCCCATCATACCTAGCTAACAAGACCAGTGGTTAGGGATGATGGGAATTGTAGTCCCAAACACTTGGAGGGCCAGAGTTTGCCTATGCCTGATGTAAGCTATTTCTAGAATCACTTTATTATAGAAGTACCATGAAAAATGTAAAAGACACACACAATGGACATAATACTCCCATATTTGGGGGAGGTTTTTTTTGCTGTGATCCTACTGTATGTGCATTCAGTTACAAATGCAGTGCAAACAAAGGGAATTTAAGTCAAAATGCAATTTTGAATCCACCTGCCTAGAAGGATATAAGCCTCAGTTCCCACACATTTTAAACTGTGTTATAGATATTAACACTTGCACACCAAGGAGCATGAGAACTAAGGGTTTCTGGTAAGGAAAGAACACACTGTATGTTAGAAGACCTGCTTTGCGTGCAGAAAGACCCCAGGTTCAGTCCCTGGTATTTCCATGTGGGGCTAGACAAAACACTTCTTCTGAATCCCTTCAGAGCCACTACCGATCAGTAAAGAACAATGAGAGACATACCAAGCAATGAGTCCAAGGCAGTTTCTTCTGCTCTTAAAAAGCCCCAAATTAAGCCACCTGCGTTTAGATGACAAATATAACATCTGCTCATACAGCCGTGTTTCCCTCATTATCAAATCAACAACACGCGTACAAGGGAACCCTATATGAAAGGTGCCCCGGCTAACTCAGTTGGTTAGAGCATGGTGCTGATAAAGCCAAGGTTGCAGGTTTGATTCCTGTATGGAACAGCTGCATATTCCTGCATTGCAGGCAGTTGGACTAGATGATCCTCAGGGTTCCTTCCAACCCTACAATTCTATGACTCTGTGATTCTACTGCTGCTGGAGTTGGTAGAGCATGAGACTCTTAACCTAAGAGATGCGAGTTCAAGCACCACGTGGGGCAAGATTCCTGCACTGAAGGGGGTTGGGTTAGATAGCCCTTGGGATCCCTACCAACACTACGATTCTATGACCCTATAGATGTGTGTTTGTATGAAAGGTGCCACACTCTTCCCCGGGCATAGTCAGGGGGGCAGCTGCCCTCCCCAAATCAATAAATAAAAATACTTAACTAACTGACCAATCACATCACAGCTCTGTTCTGTTCCCCCTAACATAAATCCAGGCTGTGCCCATGCATCCCATTCCCCAGCCCCGTTCCCCAATAGGAGAGTTTGCCCAGTGTTTCTCAAACCTGGGTGTTGTTGGACTACAATTCCCATCATCCCTAGCTAGCAGGTCCAGCAGCCCGAGATGATGAGAGTTGTAGTCCAACGGGGGCGGGAGGACAAATCCCCCCTTTGAAAAACACCAGGCAAACTTGTTGTTGGACTACAACTCCCATCATCCCTAGCTAGCGGGCCCAGCGGCCAGGGATGATGGGAGTTGTAGTCCAACGACAGCGGGGAGGACCCCCCCTTTAAGAAACACCGGGCAAACTTGTTGTGGGACTACAACTCCCATCATCCCTAGCTAGCAGGTCCAGCGTTAAGGGATGATGGGAGTTGTAGTTCAACAACGGCAGAAAACCCCCCCTTTGAGAAACCCTTCTTGTTGCACTACAACGCCCATCATCCCTAGCTAGCGGGCCCAGCGGCCGGGGATGATGGGAGTTGTAGTCCAACGACAGCCAGCGCCCCGAGCTGAGCAACAATGGCCTGAGCGTTTGCTGGTTCCCCTTCCAAGCACGCCCCGAGGACCCTAAAACTCCGGAAGCGAGCGAGCCAAGGGCGGAGCTCGGAGGACGCCAAGCGCCAGGGCCGCTCTCTCTTCCTCGTCCGAGGCGAAGAAAGCGGCACCTGCTGCTGCTGCAGCGCCGCCATGAGGCCGGGCGGACTCTCCTCTCGGCTCCGCCGCAAGACCCGAGCTTGGGAGGCGGGCTGAGAGGCCGGCTAGTAGTCCCGAAGCCCCTCACGGAGGCTGCTGTGGGCCTGGCCGTGCTCGGCTCCCTCCCTTTCCCCAGCGTGTTGTGTGTGTTTAATCCCCGCCCTCCCTCCCTCAGCCTCGGCTAGGCGGGAAAGAAGCCCTGGCTGAGGGGAAAGGGAAGAGGAGGGCCGCCACCCCGCCCTCCCTCACGCCGACTCACCAGCTGCGAGGCCTTCAGCGCCAGCCGCCGCGCTCCCAAGTTGTCGGCGGTGCAGCCGGTGCAGCGGGGGCCCTTCCCCGGCGGCTGCTCGGCGGGGACGGTGGTGTCGGCGTAGACCGGCGCCCCGTTCTCCATGGCCGCGAAGGGAGTAGGCCCTGCGAGGAAAACGAAAGGGAAAGGCGGCCTCCGCTTCAGCTTCAGGGGGAGTTGTCCCCAGACAGGGCCGGGCGCCAAGGCCTCGAGGAAGGAGGAGGAGGAGGGCCGTCGAAGTTTCCCCGCCTTTTTTCTTCTCCCCGCGGAAGGAGGTGAATCGGTTGCCTATCAGGAGAAACGGGGCCTTTGCCTCAAGGCCCGGCAGCCAAATTCACCTCACGCCGTTTCACCTTGTTCATTTATTGCCCAGAAGCATTGAGGAACAGGCTCCAAGCGCCGCCCTCTTGCCGTTGGCAAGCCCTCCCTGCATGCCGAATAAATAGGCTTCCCCCACCCCCTAAGAAACGAACCGCAATAAGTTGAATTATTAACATAAAACTGCAAAGCCCAGCTGCAACATAATAGGGAGCACGGGTTGTTTTTGTAGTTCCTCTGAACTCTTCATCAGGCTGGATGTTAAGCAAAGGGGTGGGGGAGAGAGAAAGGCTGGATTTTGGTATTGAGGCCATTATAGCTGTTTTGGTCAAAAAATCATTTTTGTTGCTTAGTCTTAGAAGGGGTGTGGCTTGTGTTCAAGAAGCCCCACACTTAAGAATTCTCCCACTACATTTATTGCTTGTAATTCACAGTTTCCAGCCCACACTGACCCCCAGAGCAAAGGTATTTTTAAAATGGATAGAGCAGGTTATGTAAGTAATGACAAAGTGTGTTTCATGCACCGCTAAAAAAACAGGGTGCTATTAATAATAATAATAATTTATACCCCGCCCATCTGGCTGGGTTTCCCCAGCCACTCTGGGTGGCTCCCAGCCGAAAATTAAAAGCACAGTAAAAGGTCGAACATTAAAAACGTCTGAAGAGGTTTGAGCCCCTGCATTTGGCAAAATTGAGCTCTATCCCCACAGTACCCACACAAAAAAGTTAAGCAGCAAATGTCTCCAATGAAACGGCAACAATTCTATATTTCTAGCCTCTATCATAACTTATGCCTGATACTGACATTGCAGTTTAACATGACTCTTCCTCTTTCCATTTCATAGAAACGTTGAATCTGAAGGGATCCCAAGGGCCATCTAGTCCAACCCCCCCTGCAGTGCAGGAACCTTTATGCCCAATGTGTGGCTCAAACCCAAGACCCTGAGATTAGGAGTCTCTTTAAGGGACCCCCTCAGCAATAGCTATTTCTGCCAGTGTAGCTAAGCCTCATGCACAGAAAACCTGGGTGGGAAGCCTGGGCTCTCCATATGTTGTGATCTCCAACTCCCATAATCATCCTGGAACATTTAACCATTCTAGTTGAGGCTGACAGGGTGAGAAAGTCCAATAACCAGAGTTTCCCCCTCCTGCTTTAAGAGGTGGCACAGATGTCAAAGAGGGTAAGGGCTCCAAATGGCCTGTTTATTGTGTGTACTTCTGTGCAATAGAGTGTTGAACTCTTGGAGCTGGCAGACTCGAATTTTAGTTCTACTGGTTCACCTTGGGCAAAGCGCTCTTGCACTTACTCAAACCAAAAGCCTCATTAATTTTAATGTGATTAACTTCCAGGTAAATATGTGCAGAACTGTAGCACTAGAAGATTAGTGTCATGCATCACAAAGCTATGGGGATCAATGCATCCTTCCAACTCTCACAATCATGTTTGAATCCTGAAAACATGTTACAGGAAACCTAATCTACATTATTTGACCTTTACTATTTTTTCTTTAAGCCTACTCAAAAGTGTGCTACCTCCCCCTTGTGGACATCCATATGAAGTACCAACACATTTTCTTTCCATATTTTAATGTACCGGTACAGTATGTCAATTGATGGGACGTGGGTGGCGCTGTGGGTAAAACCTCAGTGCCTAGGACTTGCCGATCGTATGGTTGGCGGTTCGAATCCCCGTGGCGGGGTGAGCTCCCGCCGTTCGGTCCCAGCTCCCGCCCACCTAGCAGTTCGAAAGCACCCTTAAGTGCAAATAGATAAATAGGGACCGCTTTATAGCGGGAAGGTAAACGGCTGTGCTGGTGGTAAAGGTGCTGTGCTGGTGCTGGCTCGCCAGAGCAGCTTCGTCACGCTGGCCACGTGACCCGGAAGTGTCTTTGGACAGCGCTGGCTCCTGGCCTCTTAAGTGAGATGAGCACGCAACCCCAGAGTCGGTCACGACTGGCTCGTACGGGCAGGGGTACCTTTACCTTTATGTCAATTGATACCCTAGGGCAGGGGTTGTCAACCTGGTCCCTACCACCCGCTAGTGGGTGTTTCAGGATTCTAGGTGGGCGGTAGGGGGTTCTACGGCACAAGCTGAATCCTTCCATCAAGCACTGGTGGGTGGTAAGGAAATTTTACCATCAAGAAAAATGCATTAGTGGGCAGTAGGTATAAAAAGGTTGAGTACCCCTGCCCTAAGGGGTATGGGGCACCAGGCCAAAATGTACAAGCGAAGACTGAACTTGTACATAAAGACAGTAAAGCAAGTGGTAACACCTTCCTCATAGTTATCTCTCATACTATCTGACCAGCTCATTTTTGTGTGGAAGTTGTTGCAACATTGGGTCAAAATGGAAATCTGCAGGATGTTTAAGAAATAAATGCAGAAACTTGCTGCAAACAGAGGAAACGTTTGTTTACCTCCCCCCCATGAGTGGGGGATGTGTGTGCATGAGTTTTCTCCAGCCTCAATACTAGGTGAGAAACTCTTGTTTAGCATTATTTTAAATTTACATTTAAATAATAAAGCTTCCCTTTCTTGATAGGGTGTAGTGTAAACAAGGAGATGACAAGTGTGTGAGAGAAGAATAAAATATTAAGTCATTATATCTGCCAGAGAGCTCAAATTAATTTTAGAATCATTACATGATTTAGGAATATACATGACTAAGGCTGTAATCTTATACCTTAGCAGTGGGCCTCCAGCCCATGGGTCTAATTAAGTCTGCCAGCCCATTTCCACCAAACCACACTAGCTGCCTTACATTTAATGCCATATATGATGATAGCAATGAGACAGGGAAAGATGCAGCGGGACCAAAATTTCAGGCACAGATGATCCGCAGTGGCTACAAAGCCCTCTGCAAAGCATATTGTCAGGTCTTGTGGAGCTCCATGCACAGTGCTTTGCGAGACTCAACAATTTGCAGGCTGTACCTTTGCCTGCATGGCTTGGTTTCAAACCATGAACAGTAATTGGGCACTGCAGGTAATTCTAAGAAAACGTCATTCTGAGTACAGGAATATGCTATGGGGAAATTCCAGTAGTTAAAGAAATACTAATTTAGATGTTATTTGTCAAGTGCATTTTCTGTTACTAAGTAGTATGTCACACTGTTTCTGAATTTATGTATATATTTATGCAAAAGCTATGGTTTAATGCAAATTATTAGTGTGCCAGTTCATGGTGGTCAATAACTCCCAGGGTAATATTCCCCACTCCTCCTCCTGCTGTGCTATAGACAAAACAAGCCAAGTCTGGCTCATCATGTCATCCAAACCCAGGCTAGTTTGTTTTCCCCAAATAAATCATGAGCAGCAAGCTAATAACAAACCCTGTTTACTTCTCATGACTTCTTGGGGAGAAACAGAACTCAAGCCCAAGATCAGACAAGTCAGACACCTGCTTGTTTCGTCCACAGTGCAGCAGGAGAAAAGGACGAGTTGTGGGAATTTCTGAGCAGTGTGGACGTTAAGCTATGGTTTAATGTTATGTACAAAAAGTTGGAAGGGAGTTTCGTGTCAGTCCATCAATCGGGGGGGGGACCACTTGTATGTTTTTCACCTTGTAAAATATGGACCTAAATTTTCCTGTACTTTTTCTACAATGCAAGACGCTAATGATAACGAGTAAAAAAACACTGAATGCAACAGTTAGACTCCAGCCTACCTGAAAAGATGCTTTTGCCATTATATCTCACTGTGATCTTTGATTCTGAACTATTTGACACAAACCATGTGCAAAATTCAAATGAAGAGGGAATGGATAATGACATTTTCAGTGATGGTTCCACAATTATATTTTCCCCTGGTAACTCCACAATCATCTCTTCCCCTGGTAGCTCCACAATCACCTCTTTCTCTGGAAGGCAGATAGAGCACATTCTAAAACTATGCTAGGCTTGACCAGCACTTAGTGTAGACAATTAAGCTTAATATATTTTACATTTGTATGCTACCCATTCTTTTACTCATTTCATGATGTTGCTATCTGTTGCTATCTCATATTTCCTCCCCTCCAGCTTCTTGTGTAGGATTGGTAGCTGACAAAGTAAAAGTGCTTCTGGCACCTTTTTGTCCTTTCAAAGCTTTTATTGCTATTAAAAAGCACTTTACACCAGCAGAGAGAAATTTATCTGCCTATACTTTTGTTTGGCAAGAGGGATACTTTCTTATGAACTCCACAGTGTGTAATATATATCTTAAATCATTTGTTTAGTGTCTTTAGATAAGCCATTTCATATATTGTTATGTGAACAGTAAATATACCTTCTACAACGCGTAAGAATTACAAATATATTAAACAAACAATTCAACTCTAGGATACAAAGTAACTGAAATGAAAATACGTTACTTACCGCATCAGTAGTATATACTCATGCACATCTTAAATACACTCAAATACAGTGGTACCTCGCAAGACGAATGCCTCGCAAGATGAAAAACTCGCAAGACGAAAGGGCTTTTGGTTTTTTGAGTTGCTTCGCAAGACGAATTTCCCTATGGGCTTGCTTCGCAAGACGAAAACATCTTGCAAGTTTGTTTCCTTTTTCTTAAAACCGTTAATACAGTTGCGACTTGACTTCGAGGAGCAACTCATAGCACGCGGTGTGGTAGCCTTTTTTGAGGTTTTTGAAGACTTTGGTGATTTTTGAAGCTTTTCCAAAACTTTTCCGAAACCGTGCTTCGCAAGACGAAAAAATCGCAAGATGAAAAAACTCACGGAACGAATTAATTTCGTCTTGTGAGGCACCACTGTAGTTCGCTGTGTTACATAGTAGTAATCTGTTCAAAAGTACAATTTGTGCCACATGCATGTGATTGGAAATGAAAAGCTTTGTAGAGTTGCTCCTTTCATACAGTTGCTCCTCGTCATGTTAAGCATTCAGTCAAGAAAGTTAGATCTAAATGATGTAAAATACTACAACCATCAAGTAGTTGTGGAATTCCTTAAGGTCTCTCAGAAAGGAACTTTTTTTGAGGGGGGCAGAATTTCAAGCCAGAGAGCTTTACATTGATAAAACTATTCTTTAAAAAGATAACAATAATATGGGAAATGCAAAGAAGAATGCCCCAAAGTAGACTACTATCT